GGAAATCTAAACTTGAAAAGTGATAGAAACTATGTCAAGAATATTATTAGAGAATTTTCTCTGTTTCCTATGGGCCAGTGTGATGGTTTTATAGGCAAATAAGAAAAGCCATGTTTTTTTCACCCTGACAAATAGGAAAAGTTTACAACATTAAAAACAACTATTCTCCAACTATTAAACTGAGAAAGACGACTTATTTTAAATGAGTGAACTTCAATGAGGTGAAATAAAAATTACTGTCAAGAGGGAAACTTCAAATAAATTACATTTGTTTCTTGAGAGTAGAAAAATGCCCATTTATTGGAAAAGATGCTAAAAGACAGTGTGGAAGGCAGACTGCAGCTTCCGGTGCTATAAACATGCTGGCAAAACCCAAATTCTTAGAACTCTTAAAGACAGCATGGAGAGCAGGGGAGAATGCTCAGTATGGAGATATCTGGCTCCACCATGTTCTGTAATAACACAAACTTAGGGAAGCCACAGAGTGTCTCTGCACATCCCTTCACCCATCCATAAAATGATCCAGTGGAATTGGGTTATGCCTGACACTCCAATCAGTAATGTTTGAGTTTCTGTTACTCTACCTTGGAATAAAAATATAAAATGTATACATATATTCTTCTGTAGATAACCTTTGTACTACACTGGTATTTACCTACGTTTTAATGTATGGTGAAGAGACTCCTAGAAACTTGTTCAGCTCATGTCAAACCTTGCATGAACTTTTAACTCTAGTAGCCTTAAAATATCTACAGTGGATGTTCTTACCTCACTCACCCTGAATTCAAATATACTACAAGTTATTTTAAAATGCTAAGATAAATTCTTAACCTATTCACTTTTATCTCCTATGTGCAACTACAATGGAGTCCTCTTGATGTTCTTAAATACACAAAATCTAGTTTCCCTTTCATGTATGTATCTTATTATAATGAAGGTCTCAATGTCACCCCTGAATCATTCCTGGGCCTTCTCCCCACTCCTCTAAACTTGTCAAAAATCCCATTACTAAGAATATGAATGCACCTTGCTACTCTTGGGCTTCTTTTGACCCCTAGTGTTTTCAGGACAGCATGCGACAGTCTTTAGTTAGATCGTGGGCCTTGCCTTTCCCTGCTTTCCCACCAGTTCCCTCACCATTTGCCCACAGGAGCTCTCTAGAAGGTGCATCCCCACCTGTCCCCAGAGCCCATATCCTCACTTCACCCCATCCATAATGCTTGCAGCTCCGCTTCTCCACACTGGGACAGCACTTCCGTTACCAATGCAGATTCGACGGGTCCTTCAGGCCCCACCCTCTACCAGGTGACCTTGGCACTCTCTGACTTACCAAATTTCCAATCCTTCTCACTTAGGATATGTGTAAATATTTACTGACGGAGCAGGGTGTGGTGGTGCACACCTTTAGACCCAGCACTCTGCCTTACTTGTCCTCCAGAGACACTGGAAGCACAGGTGTGCTCCATAACACAGACTTTGTCTTCTGTACTCTATCCTTAGTATTTTTTGGTGTTTAGTATTCTAACTACACACTTCTTAACTGCACTGTGTTTGGTCTGTCTCCACTTCTGACTCTAAGTTCAACAAAGACAAAGACTTTTGTCTATTTCCTGGAAGCATGCCTAGTATTTGATAAGTATGTAAGAAACACTTTCTAATAAATTCCTTTTTTAAAGACTGAAAGAGAGCTAGGGGTGTATCTTAGGACTGAAACACTTGCCCAGCATGGACAAGGCTTGGGGTTCTAGCCCCAACATTGCAAGCAGTTAAAACAAACAAACAAACAAACAAACAAAACCTGAAATGAAATAAAACCTGAAGGAAACATTAACATTAGTGACAAATAATAACAGTAGTAACAACAATAATAATGAAACATATGCTAGAGCAAAATTGGGAATCTACAATATATCTGACCCTATATACAGTTGTAGTATCCATAAAAAAATCCTATTACTACTATAATTATTATTTTCTTAATTCCTAAGTAAAATAAGACTTAAAGAGGTTAAATAATTTCCTCTATGGCACACTCCTAAATAAATGGACTGAAAACAAGCCCTGGGCTTATTTACTACTGAAAATTAAGTTCTAGCCCAGCGTGGTGGCACACATTTTTAATCCTAGCATTCAGGAGGCAGAGGCAGGCAGATCTCTGTGAGTTCAAGACCAGTCTGGTCTACATAGTGAGTTTCAGGCAAGCTGGGGCTAAGGGAGACCCTGTTTGTAAAAAGACCAAAGAAAGAAAAAAAAAGAGAGAGAAAAGAAAATTGGGTTCTAGACTGAACGAATCAACTGTAAAACAAAGATCTGAGCGCAGGGTAGGGTGAAGAGAAAGAACTTAGCAACAAATTTATAAAACCTTTTCCCCAGATAATGAGCACTTTAATTTCTTACCTTCTGTTCTTTTACTTATTCATCTCACTCTTTTCCATAAACCTGTACACTTCCTTCCTAACCCCCTTCACCTTCAAGAAGAGAAAACGCTTCTGAGTAATGCTATAATCTCATTAAAGAGATACAAATTCCATCTTAAAAATATGTTCTCATTTCTCATGTAAAGGACAAGCACAGAATAAGCAGCCAGAGTCATCACCCACTCAGTGAAGTAAGCACTAGTTAAGCAAGGAGGAGAAAAGAATGCTTTGTTCATAATTACCTAAGATTTTCCATCTTGAGAGGGGAAAGAGGAAGTCTATTTTCAGTGACAATGATTACTCTAAAAATATGAACATGCAAGGGGAACATTTTCATTCTCAGAGTTACGACTGTGCCGAGTTTTCTTTCCTCACAGTGACTTGGAATTCCCAGGGTGGGAAGGTAATCTAGGCAGAGAGGCTCGCCTCTCGGAGCCACAGGAGTTTAACTGAGGACACACTGGAAAGGATTTCTCCTCACCAGGTCAGCCTCGGAGAAGTATCAAGTGGCAGAGTGGATACTTACATCCTCAAGTACTGGGGTGAGGGCAGAGATTATAGCTACCCAGCTTTCTAGAAGATTCTCTATGCTTGATGCATAGAAATGCACTGAGAAGCTGAGCCACCCGCTAAGCGTTACAGAAGGAGACTCGGCCCAATGCGCCCTTTCCTCCACCTGACCTCTGGCTGCTCTCCTGTGAGGCCCCTATCAGTTCACCTCGCTTTACAGTCCAGGCAAGAATTCCCCCAGGTTTGGGGAAAAGTCTATTAGTTCCTTTCTTCTATACATGCATATAAATAAAAATGGTTTCATAAAGAATCCTTAGTTTAGGCCTGGTGAGATGTCTCAATGGGTAAGAGTACTTGCTGCCAAGCCTCACAACTTGAATTCAGTCCCTTGAACCCACATGGTGGAAGGAGAGGACCAACCTCTATACATACACCCTGAAACAAATAAATAAATGTAATAAAAGGTTTTTTTGTTTTGCTTTGTTTTTTTTTCTTAAAAAGAACTCTTAGTGCCAGGTGTGGTAGCACAAGCCTGTAGTCCTAGCACTTGGGAGGCAGAGGCAGGCGGATCTCTGTGAGTTCAAGGCCAGCCTGGTCTACATAGTAAGTTCCAGGACAGCTGGGGCTACAGGGAGACCCTGTCTCAAAAAGACAACAACAACAAAAAAGAACTCTTAGTTTAGGGCAGTTAGCAGTCCAGTGACATTAAAAGCAAACTATTAAGATAACTTTAGAGCATGGTGAAGTTTCTTTTTCTCATACCGTCTATATTGTATATATTCAGAAACTGACAAGAGAGCCACATGCCCTCCTCCTAATCTGTCATTTCACACCTCAGTTCTCTACTAGTGCTTGGAGCCGGGCTTCATGAAACCTTGCTGCATCAGCTCAGTCAGAGCTTATCAGCAAATAAATACAAAGCTCTGTATTTGCTTCTTAACATGACTGAGGCAAAGTGGCCACAAGTGAGTTACAAATGGAGGTGGAAGTACTGTGATAAGTGATTATAATCCCACACTTAGATATACTTGAATGGTTCTTCTTTTCTCTAAAAAAAAAAAAAAAAAATTAGGCTGGGCGTGGTGGCCCACACCTTTGATACCAGCACTCAGGAGACAGAGGCAGGTAGGTCTCTGAGTTCAAGGCCAGCCTGGTTTACATAGTGAGTTCCAGGCCAACTGGGGATACAGGGAGACCCTGTCTCAAAAAAAATTAGATATCAAGACTCTTTGCGGGGGTGTGGGGGGGACTAGAGAGGTGGCCCAGCAGATAAGACCACTGGTTGCTCTTGTAGAGGGCCTGGATTTGGTTCCGAGCACCCACATGGCACCTAAAAACTGTCCTTAACTCCAGTTCCAGGGGATCTGATGCCGCCTTCTGGCCTCTGTGGGCACTGCACAACACTGTTGCACTTAGAAGCAGACAAAACACTCATATACATAAAAATTTTAATTTAAATTTAAAACAGGAGCTGGACATGGTGGTGCAAACTTTAATCCCAGCTCTCTGGAGGCAGAAGCTGGTGGATCTCTGTGAGTTCCAGGCCAGCCAGGACTACAGACAGATCCTATCTCAAAAAGACAACAACAAAAATAGGGGCAAGACGACTCAATGATTAAGACCATGTACTACTCTTTTGGAGGACCTGAGTTCTGTTCCCAGCACCCATATCAGGTGGCCAACAACCACCCATAATTTCAGGGGATCTGACAACTCTGGCCTCTGAGGGCTCCACATACTAATGTGCACACACACACATACACAGGTGCACACACACATATATATGCACGATAAAAAATAAATAAAGCTAAACAAACAAAAAAAACCCCATAAAATAAAATAAATCTTATGGGAACCCTCTATAAAACACAGTTCAGAAAAATACCAATTAAGTATAAAACTGATACAGACAACATATACCTTCAGAGGGTCACTTATCTTAAAATCCAATCTTTGTGTCCTCAGCATGGTTAATAGACATATTCAGAGTGTGAGTTAAAGTTGGAGAGATTAACTGTGTAACTAGGAATATACCTGTGCATGCAAATCAGGTACCCTCTATCCCCGTCTTACCAGCAGCTGTCCCTCACTGCTCCTCCTGGATCATGTCCTGCTGGTCATGTGTGAGCCCATCTCCTGCTCCCAAGCAACGTAGCGGAACAGGATCCAGGGACATAGAGAATCTTGGGAGGAGATTCTGCTGAATGTTGACCAGCCTAGAAAAAACAGAGTTCAATTTTTTTTTCTTTTTTTAGTTTGCAAAAATAATCAAGGCATCTATACCTATTACTAAAGGTAATATTCGGAGTTTAAAAGGTCTTAGATGCCTTTTAATTGTTTGACTCCATTACACTGTTGGTTATTTTAAAATTTAGGATTAAAAGATCTTTCTCAAAGCAATGACATTGTTAAATGTTTCAATAAAAATATCATCTCATATGCGTAGAGCACTTTAATACAACCAAGCAAGCATCTTTCCTCCTCATATCCTTGCTAGTCACCTACACTTCTTAACCCCTGACTTTTGTCATTTCATCTGTTGAACTCAGTTATTCATTCTCAGTGCTGTAAGAGGAGCACCTGGGTATAAAGCTGAGACCTTCCACCCAGAGATTCTGATTTGCTGGACTAGAATAGAGCCTTACCCCCCAGTGATTCCATGATGAAGCCAAAATTGAAGATCATTAGTTTAAGCCCTGGCACTTACAAAGATGAAGCACTAACAACTCGGTATCTATTCTGTATATACCATGCAAAAACAGTGCTAGGTGCTAAGGAGACAGCATTACAATGTGTGGTTCCTGTGTTCCAGAACTTTCCTTTAGCTAGCTAGGGACATTTGGACACATGTTTTTAAAAAGATCCCCCAAGAACACATATATTTGGAAACATAACCTAAGATTTCACTAGTCAAAGATACAGTCAAAATTCTCGGTGCTATAGAACATGGAGAAAATTCAGATCCTGAGAGAACTTCATTGAGCTGGAAGGGCTGGGCAAAATTGAGAGAGGAATGAGGGATGAGGGAGAGCAGGAGACTGCATGCAGCAAGCTGGAGGAAGAGGTTTCCCTAAAGGAGCATTACAAGAATTTAGAAAGGTTCAAACAATCTAAAGAGTTTCAGTAAAATGGTAAATGTAGTTGAAATAGTGCCGAACATCCTGGAAGAGTGTCTCAAATAGTGCTAGAAGCTGCCCAGGTGCATACTCCAGGGCTTCAGAAGCGCGCTGGGCTCTCAGATGCCACACACTCCATTAGATGCACCACATAATTCCTCTAGTATGAAACTCTGCAGAGGTAGTTATCAGCATCTCCCTTTTGCAGGGTAGGAACAAAGTCTCAAGTTTTTCTGAGCCACACAGCTAGAAACAAGCATGGGAACACACTGTGTCTTCAGCAGCTAGGTGGCCTATGTCAAGACTTAAAATCTTATACAGTTCACGTGCCATAAAATTCACCTTTTTGTGATTGTATCGGTTTGTTTTTGTGTACTGGGGATCAGGCCCACTGAACTTTGGCTCCAGTTCAAATTTACCTTTTTACTTTTTTAAAGTTTTATTTTTTAATTTTTATTATTTTTATTCTATATGTATGACTGTATTGTATCCACACACCTGTGTCATGCAATACCTGGGAGGTCAAAAGAGGGCACTGGAACCCCTGGAATTGGAGTAAGGACAGTTGTTAGCCACCATGTGGGTGCTGGGAACCAAACCTGGGTCCTCTGCAAGAGCAGCCAGTGCTCTTAACCAATAAGCCATCTCCCCCGGCCCTCATTTTAAACAATATGTAGCATGGGATAGAATCCTGTGTGGAGAGCTTGCACACTGACATGGGTTGGAATCCTGTGTGGAGTGCTTGCACACTGACATGGGTTAGAATCTCGCGTGGAGTGCTTGCACACTGTTTTGCCTATTAATCCACAGCTGGACAATAATATGCTTCCAGCTTTGGGCAACTACAAATAATGCTGTAATGAGCATGAGAACACATCCTTCGTGAGGTGCTTTCTATGTGTGTGTGAAAACGCATTTTTAATTCTCTTGGGTGTGGAATCTATAGGCGAGGAATTGATGGGCCTTGTAGTAATTTCATGCTTAACGTCTAGAGGAAACTACTAAACTGTCTTAAAACCATGGGTGCCCCCCTGTTAGAGTCTCAAAAACAATACACCAGGGTTCCAACTCTCCCACATCCTTATCAACACTTATTATTATATATCTTTTAAATTTATTCATCCTCATGATTTGGAAGTGGTAGAAGATTTGGGTGTTATAAATAATCATACCCAAGATACTGGTTTGTTACCACAGCTTATGCATAAAGTGATTGAATCTCAGCAAGACAGTGGCAGAAGAAATGAAGTAAATGATCAGACAGGGACCCGTGATAAATAAATAAACAAATCAATAAATAAAATTCCATGACATTTTAGATGTACAGAGAAAAAATAATGACTCAATTACAGTAACAAAGCTTTGAGTTTCTTTGGCTGGATGAATGATATTAATCAGATAAATACATCATTCCAGAAAGGAAGCTCACATAATATGCTTGAGGAGGTCTAGGTATTTCCAATAAATCTAGGTATTCTGAATAAATAATGATTGGCCAGATGAAGTTTAGAAGTGCCCTTCCCATCCTCCTCCTTCTCCTCTTTGTCTTCTCTCTCTCTTTCTCTCTCTCTCTCTGTCTCCCCCCACCTCCCCCTCCTCTCCCTCTCTCTCTCTCCTCAGGAAGCATTGGTATGATTGGAAAAGGGTCATTGCCACTGCCTATATACACACCTGAGGTTTCTAAAGCTGACACTGAGGAAGGCAGAGGGGTTTCTATCCTGTTTTCTGTTTAAAATAGTAAAACAATACTTAAATAGTATCAGGACATGGGAGTAAGTCCCTTGAGTTGGAATACTTTTATTTACATTACACGATGGTGGTACCTTCCATTCTCAAACTGGTGGGAACATGCTCAGCAGGACTTTCCTCCAAGGCCTGACACAGATTCTGGTGTCCTAGAGGACTGAGTGTAACTACAAACAGTTATCTGGTTGGCTGGGATTTGAGCTAAGTGTCAAGGAGAACCCTGAGGTTCCAGTTTTCTAAGCCCTAAACAGCTTCTTAGGATTTTAAAAACTCCATTGCTAACAAATGTAACAGAATCATATGAAATCTATAATGTTGCAATCTTTCTGAAGATAATGTAGACAGATTTTTTTCCTTTAACTTAAAACCTAGTCTTCAGGGCTATGAGAAAGCCTGCCTCAAAAAGACAAAAAAACAAAAACAAAAACAAAAACAAAAAAACACCTCGTCTGATTTTTGCCTTTATTCTTCAGTTTTTAAAAGTTAACTGTTTTCGAATGGGAGGGTTTCCCTGTGCTCTTTCTCTGACTGCTTGTCATTGGTATATAGAAAGGCTATAGACTTTTGTAGGTTAATTTGGTATCTGTGTGTGTGGGGGGGTATGTGTATTTTCACCTGTGTTGGTGTGCATGTATGTGTGCATGCCCAAGCATGCATATGGAGGCCCACGGTTTGATGCTGGATGTGCACTTTGATTGCACCCACTTTTCTTAGGAGGCAGAGTCTCACTGAACCTGAGCTCCCCGAGTCTGACTACACCAGCTAGCCAGCTTGCTTCTGCATCCCATGAGCTGGAATTACAGGTGACCTCCACACCTGCCCAGGTTCTACATGGGTTCTGGGGTTCTAAGAAGCAAGCCTCATGCGTGCAGCAAGTATTTTATCCACTGAGTCACCTTACCAGGCAAAACAGGGTTTTCTTTAAAAAAAGAGAAAAAGAAAAAAAATCTCTAAAAGCTAGTCACCCAAACTATAAACGTGCACGTCTATACAAACTATGGACAAGGTGTACTGATCTTTCTTTTTGGAAATTCTTTTTTTACTTGTTGGTTTGGTTGTTTGTTTTTGCATTTTATTTTATTATTATTTTATTTTATTTTGAGACATGATTTCATTCTAAAATCCAGGCTGGCCTGGAACTTACTATGTAGTTCAGGCTGGTCTTGAATGCCTGTTTATCTTCCAACCTCAGCGTTCTGCATGCTGGGATTCCTGGCAGGAGCAAACATGTCCAGCTCTTTAAATTCATTCGTTCTCAATAGCAGGATCTATCATCGATCAAATGTCATCAAATGCTTCCATTATAAACAGGGGACTGTGTTTATCATGCTGGATCCAGTCCTTCCTTTCCCTTTTGTGCAACTACTATGCCCCCAGTGCTGGATGCTTCAAAGCTTTCCATCAATAGCAGCTTCCTTCCTGTAGGAATGCTGCCTCGACAGTTTTTTCTGCTCAATGTGGATGTGACTCTCCTCCAGGTCTAAATGGGGTCAGGTCTATAGTGGATGCACTATACTGCGGGGTGTGTCCACAAAATAGCTCTACACACACACACACACACACACACACACACACACACACACAGAGTACAAGTAGATGATCTCAGCTGTACAGTGCCCAGAGGGAAGTGCTATTTCAGAATGTCAGCAACTTGGCAGCAATGGCTCTTCCTCTATTAATGCTTTAAAAATCACTACATTAAAAACAATCACGTTAAAAGAAAAGCTCTGTGAAGAAAATTAAAGGCCTCCTGTGCATTTGTTCCTCCTTCTTCGTAACAAAAAGGCAACTCTCAAGGAGGAATTCAGTAGGAATTTGCAGAACAAAGTCCAGCAAAATAAAACAAATATATCCCACACAAGGCTATTTCTAGTAAACAGTCTTTATAGAACTGAAATTGACAAACAAATCTGAAACACTAGCCAGCAATTAAAAGCTGTTTATCATAATATTTCCCATTGAACAAAGAGATTATTCAAAAACCAAACATAGAAATATAAGTGATACACACAAAAATTCACTTGGCATTATATTCAGATTAAATATAAATCAATTAATATATAATTCCAGAAACAGAAAAAATAAGTTGTGAGGAAAGATATATAAAAAGTATGTTTAAAAAACAAATGGAATACCCCCATTAGCAGAAAATGTTGTCTAAAAAATCAAACGAAAGCAGGTGTGATGGTGCACATCTGTAATCCTAGCATAAAGAAAGCTGTGGCAGGAATATTGCCTGCCCAAGTTCAAAGTCTGTCCGATATGTAACAAGATCCTGTCTCAAAATACCAAACAAAACAAACCACACCAAAACGAAGACAATAGCTTACCTAAGTTACTGAGTCTGAAATACG